TCCAAACCAGCTGAAACTAATTAACAACCCCCTCTGCTACTTAACTAACCAGATCAATACCCCAGGAGTTTCATTGACTTGATGCTATACTCTGATTAAAAAATGTTCCTTTAATTTTTTTGAGCAGTGTATATACAGTGGGGCAAAAAAAGTATTTAGTCAGCCACCAATTGTGCAAGTTCTCCCACTTAAAAAGATGAGAGAGGCCTGTAATTGGCATCATAGGTAGACCTCAACTATGAGAGACAAAATGAGAAAAAAAATCCAGACAATCACATTGGCTGATTTGGAAATAATTTATTTGCAAATTATGGTGGAAAATAAGTATTGGTCAATATCAAAAGTTCATCTCAATACTTTGTTATATATCCTTTGTTGGCAATGACAGAGGTCAAACGTTTCCTGTAAGTCTTCACAAGGTTGGCACACACTGTTGCTGGTATGTTGGCCCATTCCTCCATGCAGATCTCCTCTAGAGCAGTGATGTTTTGGGGCTGTCGCTGGGCAACATGGACTTTCAACTCCCTCCAGAGGTTTTCTATGGGGTTGAGATCTGGAGACTGGCTAGGCCACTCCAGGACCTTGAAGTGCTTCTTACGAAGCCACTCCTTCGTTGGCCGGGCGGTATGTTTGGGATCATTGTCATGTTGAAAGACCCAGCCACGTTTCATCTTCAATGCCCTTGCTGATGGAAGGAGGTTTGCACTCAAAATCTCACGATACATGGCCCCATTCATTCTATTCTGTACATGGATCAGTCGTCCTGGTCCCTTTGTGGAGAAACAACCCCAAAGCATGATGTTGCTACCCCCATGCTTCACAGTAGGTATGGTGTTCTTTGGATGCAACTCAGCATTCTCTCTCCTCCAAAAACAACGAGTTGTGTTTCTACCAAACAGTTCTATTTTGGTTTCATCTGACCATATGACATTCTCCCAGTCCTCTTCTGGATCATACAAATGCTCTCTAGAAAACTTCAGACGGGCTCAGACATGTACTGGCTTAAGCAGGGGGACACGTCTGGCATTGCAGGATCTGAGTCCCTGGCGGCGTAGTGTGTTACTGATGGTAGCCTTTGTTACGTTGGTCCCAGTTCTCTGCAGGTCATTCACTAGGTCCCCCCGTGTGGTCCTGGGATTTTTGCTCACCATTCTTGTGATCATTTTGACCCCACAGGGTGAGATCTTGCGTGGAGCCCCAGATCGAGGGAGATTATCAGTGGTCTTGTATGTCTTCCATTTTCTCCCACAGTCGATTTGTTCACACCAAGATGCTTGCCTATTGCAGATTCAGTCTTCCCAGCCTGGTGCAGGTCTCCAATTTTGTTTCTGGTCTCCTTCAACACCTCTTTGGTCTTCACCATAGTGGAGTTTGGAGTGTGACTGTTTGAGGTTGTGGACAGGTGTCTTTTATACTGATAACAAATTCAAACAGGTGCCATTGATAAAGGTAATGAGTGCAGAACAGAGGAGCCTCTTAAAGAAGAAGGTACAGGTCTGTGAGAGCCAGAAATCTTGCTTGTTTGTAGGTGACCAAATACCTCTTTTCCACCATAATTTGCAAATAAATTATTTCCAAATCAGCCAATGTGATTGTCTGTCTGGATTTTTTTTCCCATTTTGTCTCTCATAGTTGAGGTCTACCTATGATGCCAATTACAGGCCTCTCTCATCTTTTTAAGTGGGGAGAACTTGCACAATTGGTGGCTGACTAAATACTGTGGTCTGTTGTTGCTAAGCTCATTTCATCAATATAACGTTTTAGTGAATTTTGGATTAGGTTGGGTTGGGTTGAGTGTACTTGTATTCTGTATGTCACCATAAATTGTATTTTATAATAAATGGTGTAACATCCCGAGAGTACACCAGGACTAAATAATATATGCTGATTTGGGTTATGTTTACCAAAAAAATGTAACAGAATACATTTTGGCCTAAATTTATGAAGAAAGACTATTTTATAACAGAAACTAATAAAAACATTTTACCAAAAAATAAAAAAAAACCCAGTGGTGATTAAATACCAAAAAAACATTGCTTTTCAGAGGCAATTGACAGGCGGTGAGGAGGCAATGTGACGCCTCCTCGTTGCCTGTTTTTTTTTTTGCCCTATTTTTGCCAAACAAACGCATTGCAACTGAGCGCATTTCACACATGTGCAGGGAGTTTGCATCGCTACCGCATTTGTTTGAATAAGTTATGTTCAGTGGGCTTGCCACTCATTGATCGCAACAGGTTGCATAATCTTTTCCCATAGAGCAAAGCTTTGCGACGCAGCAGCACGAACCCCCCCCCATATGCATATGGGGGGGCATCCTCCAGTTGAAGTGGTTATACCTGGGCCACTTTTAGTTCCTGTCCCATGTAAAAAGGCCCCTTCAATTCTCCCTCTGCCTGTGCCTGCACAAATCCCTTTCAAATCCCCTCTCCTAGCACTAATCCACCCCCCCTAAATTTCCACTCCTAGCACAACCCCCCCAATCATCCAAACCAGCACAAATCCTCTCCCCCAAATCCCCCTTCCTAACAGCAATCCACTCTCCTGTGTTTTTCTTTTTAGCCAAACACATTGAGCAGAATAAAATAAACATTCCCCAGTAAATTGTTTGTTAAATTCTTACCGCAGCCCTTGCAGTTTACAACTTTTAGTGCTGCTGGTTCCTGTCTTTTCAGTGCTGCTTCCCTAAACTTCTGGTCTTTAAAGGAAAGAGTTTACAATGAACAGTGCTGTCTCCAGCCAGTTTGTTAGCTTAGAGAAGGATGGGGGGGGGAAGGGGAGTTTCTTGCCATCCCAGCCTACAGGGCTGTGTGTTTTTATTGATGACCACAGGGTAAGGAGACGTAACAGTAGTCTCTGCATGCAAGGGTGGGTCCATAGGACACCACCCACATGGAAGAAAACTATATTTGAAGTATATTTTTAAAATATTATTCCCAAATATATTGATATATATTTGAAATACTACAATTTTGGCCATATTCAATATTTTTTAAATATATTTCAATACATATATATATACACTGCATGTTGCATGTTGAAATGTGTTTTTATATATTACAAATTATATGAAAAATATTTTTAAAAATAGATATTTTTTAAATATATTCTTCAGATTTTTTTTAACATATAAAAAAGTAATTTTAACATATATTTTTACATAGATTTGTAAATGCATTTCAAAAATGTAGATTAAATGTATTTTTAAAGAAATACAGTATATTTGAAAATGTATTTTTAAATTTTTTTTTTCATATATTTTGTAATAAAAACGCATTTCAACATACAGTGTGTGTGTATATATATATATATATATATATATATATAATAAATATATATATAAAATATTTTTGAAATATATTGAATATGGCCAAAATTGTGGTATTTCAAATATATGTCAATATATTTAGGAAGAATATTTTTAAAATATATTCAAAATATATTTTTTCTTCCATGTGGGCATAAAAGAAAAAAAAAAACACTATGAAGAAAGAAAACCTTGGGCAGCAGTCACGGCACCAACATAAACAGGGACATAGGAAAGGATTAATAGATAAAGAAACTGCACACTCAGTAAGTGATTCAATTCGCAACTGAAAGTGCTTAAAAATTGAGGTGTTTTTTTTTTAACCTCAAAATACGTGATTTACTCTGAAGCCCTTACATTCCATAACTCTTCCCCTAGGTGGAGCGCAGTACATGAACTTGCATAGGAAATTGTGTTTTTTCTTGTGTTTATTAGACACGGGTCTTTTGTTTTTATAATAAACCAATCACAGTGTGCCAGCTGGACGTTGAGAGTTTCCGTTTTCTAATACATTTATTCGCACAGCTTCTTGCCTCAATTGTGCAGTGGTGGCCGGAGAAAGCAGCAACAGGTAAGGCTGTCTATTGGCTTGTCTGCCTCAGGCTATCCAGGTGTTGTAGAATTATATGAAGCAGCATGACTTGCTGGGACTTGTAGTTCAGCAGCAGCTGGACATATCATGAGATGCCCAGAGAAGATTAGTTCTATAGCGGATTACAAAGTTTACTTTTTTCATAGTCACCAACTGTCCCTGACATTCCAAAGACAATGCAAAGGGTTGGGATCTGTCCCTGGAGATCATTGATTTACACCTTCTTCTTTATTAAGGGCTTGTTCACACTTGACTACATTTCTAACTCTTCAAAAACGCCCCTATAGTGTTAGACAGACGTTAATGAGCTTTAGTATGAGTGTTCTACAAGAGTTAATAACACTCCCCAAAAACGCCCTATGCAGGGTTTTGAGACATTTTACAGGCATTTTACGAGTGTTAAAACTGCACTACAAACGCCTATAATAAACTCTAATGGTATTAATGCCCCGCAAATGCCTGCCAGGAGTTTGAGGAGCATCTCCATAGACTTGAGTGGGAGGCTTTGAAAGGCTTCAATTCCTCCTGACTCAACATGAGGTTTTAATTTTGAAGCGATGCTAAATGCTTCATGTTTTGCTAATGTGAACAGCACTGTGCGCTGCCCATAGTATCACTTCCTAAGGTGTTTGAGGAGCGTTAAAAATGCCCCTCAAACGCCTGCTTTCAAAGCTAGGGTGAACTGAGCCTAAGATTTTGGTTCTCATTGCCATTAAGGTTGATTAAATATAGGTAAATATTGTAGATTGAGCACTTTGCAAGTGCAATTACTCCAGAGCTTAATTAATGAGGGGACGCTTACTGACTTCCATCCATCCAATCAAGTGCAATCAAAACTGTTTTTTTTTTTTTTTTCCTTGCATGTAATTGAGTATTCTTTGCAAATTATAGATTTACCTCATTTATAAAGCTCTGGTGCAACTGCGCTTGCAAAGTGCACAATCTATTTGTCTGTAAATCCACCCCACTGTGTTCTTAGTGTTTAATTGTTTTAACATTTTGTAGTATAGTTTCTGTATCCCTGGAATTTGTTTCTTATAGGATTTGTATACTTATTTAAACTGTTAGCTAATTTTTTGTCAATATTATCTGCAACAGATCATTTAACCTCCCTGGCGGTATTCCTGAGTGTAGCTCGGGGTAAAGTTTCAGCACCACAAGCGGTAAACCCGAGCTACACTCAGGAATACACTGCAGCGCTGCTCCGGGATCTCTTCTTCTCTTACCTTGTCCTGCGCTCCCGCGATGTCCCCGCTGCAGTGTCCCCGGCAATGTTCTCCGGCAGATGCCGGCATCTGTCATCTGGGTTCCATCCCCTGCGACGTCAGGACGTTTGGGGGACGGAACAACGGGAAATTTGAAAATGACAAAAAGTGACATTCACTAAATACACTAAAATCTGATAGTATTACATTACTGTATCAAACCATTTCACATACATTTTGTCCAGAGTGCTTTGTCCTGTGCCCTGCCTGCATTTTTACTGTTCTTTCTGCCTGGAAACTGAGAAACGTCCATGGTGTCCAAAAAGCATCCCTTTAGGTCAAAAGCGGTTTTAGAGCGGCTAGAGAACAGCGATAGTAAATCAGAACCACTCGTCATCAGACATTGAAAACGATTGAGACTTTGCTCAGTGATGTGTGAACTTGGCACTCTATTTCAACTTTCAGTGTTTTTGGTTTGATTATATTATTGAATTAAATGTATTATTATATTATTATTTTTTATGATTATTTATTAAATTATAATTTATGATTTCGTGTTTCAAATTTTATCATACCCGGGATGTTTACTAGACTCTTGATCAGACAGATTTCAGTGAGTTATTCCTAAGAATTACAGGCCTACAATAAGAAAACAACATATTTCCATGCAAAAAAATGTACCACTTTCAGCACAGAAATATGGACATAATCAGACTGCTAGGGAGGTTAATGGGAAATTTGGGTTTCCTAACCCAATGTTCTAAATTGGGGTGAATGTATGGACCTAAATATATTAAAACCTCCTGCGCTTCAGATGAAAAAACACATACACTAAGCTGCCAACACCCTCCTTTAAACCAAAAAGTGCATATATAGAAATAAGAAAAATTGGTGTAGCGCTAAAACAAATGCCACTAAACATACATATGCATATATAAACAAGTAAAAAGGGTTAAAGATGCTTATAAATAATCATGCATAAAAAACTTATTGCATGTCCCAAAATGGGGAAAAACGTGCCTATATGCTTGTGATGGTTGCACACAACACCATGCAAAGGGGTAATATACTTCAACAAGTGACAAAGGTGAATATATTGCAGTCCACTTCACACAAATACTGTGATCCTTTTAAAAGGCGTGAGAGTGCCACTGGTGCCACAATCCAAAAATGGTTTGAGTGCCTCCTCACCTCCCCGCACTGACCACAAGGGCCAATACGCCTTTACACCTTATAGGTATATTCCTCGGATGTCAGCCGATACAGGTCCACACTGGATGCTACCTCAGGCGCTGTTATCCAAAAAGCCACCTCCAGCTGCTACATAATGGTGGTAATATACCACCAGATGATGCTCAGAGACATAAAAAGAGACTTCCCATAGCGTGATACCGCAATATTTATTGATAAAATATATATAAAAATATATACTCTCTCTCTCACGCTCTCACACTTTTAAAAGGATCACAGTATTTGTGTGAAGTGGACTGCAATATATTCACCTTTGTCACTTGTTGAAGTATATTACCCCTTTGCATGGTGTTGTGTGCAACCATCACAAGCATATAGGCACGTTTCCCCATTTTGGGACAAGCAATAAGTTTTTTATGCATGATTATTTATAAGCATCTTTAACCCTTTTTACTTGTTTATATATGCATATGTATGTTTAGTGGCATTTGCTTTAGCGCTACACCAATTTTTCTTATTTCAATGTATAGACCTATACTTCTTATTTTGTAGACTCTACAAAATAAATTATACAAAATGATATATAATATAAAATGTTTTATAGTGGGTTCTCGCATCATGGTTTATACCCGAACTCCGGCCTTCCCCCCGCCTTTTTGTTCCCCCTGGCTTCCCCGGTGAGCGAGAGGTGATGCTGGTCCACTTTGACACAGTCAGGGCCTTGGGAGGTCTACGTTTACATTTAAGTATAATGCTTAGCCTTTTCTAGTTTCTGTGGTACAGTGACTTGCTCTGATCCTAGGGAGACCTGTGTTAGGGATCCGGGTATGACCAGAAATGTGTGGACTGACACAGGGAAGTAGCAGGCTTCAGGAACACAGGCGTAGTCAGGGCTGGAGAGGTGGAATGGTCAGGCAGGCCGTTAGGTACTGTCAGGCACCGCCCGGCGGGATCTCTGGTACCCACAGAACGGGATTCCCCAGGGCGCAGAGTCTAAGCCCCAGTCTGCCTTTTCACCAGAGCCCCTGATGGTGGGGATGGACTTGGTGCAGGACTAAGACCAGGTCGCGGCCCCTGAGTGCACCCAACTGTGGTAGAGGGGTCCGCCGAGGGTATGTACCGTGGGAAAGCCTGACGTGAAGAGGCTGGCAGACCTGGTAACAGGGACAGATCCATGCGGGATGGATGGATGGATCATCTGCGTAGCGTCAGGCAGGCCAGGTCAGCAACGCGCGGGCAGCGAGGTACCGTAGGAGCAGGCAGAGAATAGTTAGGGTCACAAGCCGGGTTCAGTAACTCACGGGCAGCGCGGTACAGAGGATCAGGCAGAAGGATGGTCAGGCAAGCCAGGGATCAAGCAAGAGAAGTCAGCAGAGGTCAGGATCAGGCAGGGTCGGCAACAAATCAGATAGTCAGCAGAACAGGAACACAGGATACAGGGGCTCATGGGAAACAATACACCAAGGCCCTGATCACTGGCCTGGTCCTGCTTAAATACACCTCCTGCAATCAGCTTCAGCTGATGGCTGACTGCAGGAGTGAGCTTCTGGTTCCTGAGAGCACCCGCTGGCCAGCCCTGGTACTGTAGCCCACACGGCAGGTGAGTCCCGCCACCAGTGGTGAATCCATGCCTGACAACCTGATTGTTATTGCATAATATATGGGGCTCAATATTGTTTTGTCTGTTTTTGCACTGACTTTCACTTGTAATGCTCTTGTTGATCTGTTGTACTCCTGCTCCTTGTTAGGGGATGCTTGTATTACTCGTTACGGCCTTACACGACTCCGCCTATTGACACTCTACCCTTAATGGTCCTGTTACCGTCTCCATGGAGTCTGATCTAGGGTATCAGGGAGTCTGCACCCTGATACCCTAGACTCCTCTTGAGTAGAGGTAGTTCCGAATTGGAGTCATATCACTAATATTGTGTCCCTGTCCATGCCTATACATGTGTGTCCCACGCTTGGTACACGCCCTGATCCCTTACAGAGACGGTTGGAGACTCACTCTACATTTTAGGCCCTGAGGATGTTTTGCAACATAAGCTACTGTCGAACCCTTCTTCCTCACATCCTGCTTTCCATTTTTCACGCCTATCAAGGTGGCGACCGGCCGGCGGTGGTTTTATTCTCGGTTCTGCATTTACCTTGCTCCCCACACAGTAGGCTCAGTGAGCTTTTACTGAACACTTTTACGGCTTCTATCACTATCTTGACATCCTTTTTCCCCTTTTTGTTTCTTTAATTTTCCCCTCTTTTTTCTTTCTTCTTCTTCTTCTTTGCGCTCCTCTCTTCTCTCTCTGTTTCTCTCCCTCTTTTCTATTATCTTTGTTTCTCCCACGTGGAATAGCGGGTCTCTTCCTCAAGCCGTTCACCTTTCATATCTCTTTCTCTTGGGTTTTTTTTTTTTTCTTTTCCTCCTCCCCGCTCCTCGCATCCCCAGTGCACTATAGCATCAGATTCAAGCAATACTGATTGGCAGATATGCCTTCCTCCACCTCAGTCACGGGACCACTGTCCCTGAAAATCCTCTCACTTAACGTCAAGGGTCTGAACACACCCGAAAAACGTTCTATGCTGCTCTCTTACCTGCACAAACAAAAAGCGGATGTAGTCTTCCTCCAAGAGACGCACTTTCGTCAGGATTCCATTCCCAAACTTTTTAATTTCCATTTTCCCACAGTCCTCCACGCCACTAACCCTCTGGCCAAATTGAATGGGGTAGCTATTTTATTCGCTAGACATCTCCCCTTCACTATTTCTGATTCCCTTTCTGATCCCAAGGGCAGATACTTGTTCATAAAGGGCTCCTTTGCCAATAGACCCGTCACACTCGCTAATGTTTATACTCCCAACACCAAACAGGACTCCTTTATGCGTTCAGTCACTACGGCCCTAGCCGCTTTTTCAAACAGGGGTACTGATATTAGGGGGTGATTTGAATGTCCCACTAAGTCCACTGTTGGAATCCTCCCCAGGCAGTTCTTTCTTACCGTTCAAGGCCCTTAAGCACATACGCATACAATTACAACACTTGCAATTGCACGATTCCTGGAGAACCCTCTACCCTAATGTGAAGGATTACACATTTTACTCCGCGCCACATAACAAATATTCTAGGATAGATTATTTTTTTCTGTCGCAGTCGGATCTTCCACTCCTCCATGCTGCCTCTATAGAGCCAATGGTTCTTTCTGACCACCACCCCATTACCATGACTTTACGGTTCCCGGATAAACACACACGCTCACAATTTTGGCACCTAGACGCCTCCCTTCTTACAGATTCTGCGATCGAACAGGAGGTCCGCTCCAATCTGACTGAATACTTTGCCTTAAATTGTTCTCCGGATACCTCCCCCCTCACGCAGTGGGAGGCCCATAAGTGTGTTATCCACGGCATCCTCATAGCTGTTGCGATGAAACGTAAATGAATTAGACAAGAGCGCTTGAAGCTCCTCACAGATAAGATCCAGTCTTTGGAGAGGGCACACAAACAGTCTTTGGCTGCGTCGACCCTATCCGAACTCACGAGCACACGCTCACAACTTCTTGCAGAACTGGGTAAGGTGGTTTCGAAATGGTACATTCTCTCACAAAAGCTATATTATGAATTTGCTAACAAGAGCGGGAAGTTACTTGCTCTTCGCGAGAGACAATCCAATATGACGGTGCATAGAATTAGAGTTTCAGATGGTACTATGGCCACATCTAACCCTGACATTGCCACCCATTTTGAACAATTTTATACACCCTTATACAACCTCCCTCCTGAAGCCCCCCTTTGCCTACTGACAAATCCAGGGCCGCCTTGATCCCTGAATTCCTCCATCTCCATGGTCCGTCGGCTCTTTCGGAGGACTCGGTCAATTCTTTGGAAAAGGACTTGACCCTGAAGGTAATGCAGTGTGCTCTAAAGCAGATGAAACATGGTAAGAGCTCAAGCCCTGATGGCTTTTCAGTAGCTTATTACAAATCCTTCTTAGATATCCTGGATACGCCCTTCCTTTCGGCGTTTAATACTTTCTCCCAACCCCCTCAGCCGC